TGTGTGTGTGTGTGTGTGTGTGTGTGTGTGTGTGTGTGTGTGTGTGTGTGTGCAGGTGTTGTTTAATGCTGTTCATGTGTTGATTATATCTCACCTCAGATCTAACAGCCACTGCCAGGTGTGTCCCCTGTTGTTAAAGTCATTGTTTTAATTATTTGTTCTGTCCACATAAAGTCCTGTCCTCAGTGTCCTGCGGTCTTCATAAATGCTGACAGAGTTTCACATGTGAAAGAGTTCACATTGTCCCCATGTCGGTGAGTGTTTGGTTAATGTGTGCGTGTGTGTGTGTGCGTGCGTGCGTGCATGCTGGGAGGGCACAAGGCGGCTTCCATTGTTAGTATAAGGTCACAACAATGACACGTGAATCCCCCATAATGCAATGCTCCTGGCAAAGCTGGATGGCATGCCCTCAGTTACCACACTCAGATGGGAGGCACACAAACACACACACTGATCAAAGCAAATAAAAGTCACTAATAAGCAAAAATGACTGAGTCTTCCAGGGGTCTTATTTACCTTCCTTTCATCTTTTTATGGACAGGTAAGTGTTTAAATATATTCTTTTTAGAGTAGTTAATAGAAAAAGACATTCCATTTTTAGTAAAAACTTTTATTTTTGGRCTAAAGATTTGCTGATAATTCCACTTCTGGCACAGTTTTTAATTTTTACAGCGACATTTGAGGACTGTGCACATCAATTCCTCTATTTAAATCCTGTTTTTATTGACTCATGACCTCACTGGAWTGTATTTGTTTTGGCTCAGGAGGGGTGGAATGTCACGTGCTGGCGTCTTTGGCCCCTCCGGTCCACCTCTCAGGGGAGAGGCTGGGCTGGACCCTGCTGGTGTGTGTGGTGAGTGACTTCAGGAGAGGACACCTGGAGATCAGCTGGAGGTCAGCATCCGAGGACCACATGTACCTCCCACCTTACAGCACCGTTGTAACCAGGAGGCACCGGGGCCACAACCCTGTGGCAACCATATCTGTGGCGACTAGAAATTGGCCATCATATAGTTGTTCTGTGAGTCAGAGGAAACACGCTAAGGTCATGAGAAGGCACCGGACCCCCTCGTCAGGTAAATCTGAATGTCTTCAGTTTTGTACTTAAACAGCTAAATTAATTATTATTATACATCACTAACCCTTTTTAATTTGTTTAAAAGGGGACGAAAAGATTTGTTATAAAAATAAAGATGAAGAAGAAGATGTCAATAAAGAAGGAGAAGGTAAAAGATGATTAGTGACACTCTGTGTGCAAAAGTTTCTAGTCATTTCTCATTTCTTTACATTCTGCTTCCAAGTGCCTGATTTTCTTGTTATCTTTTAAAGTTGTCAAATATCTTCAGG